CCCATGGTTTTGATAGATTTTTGACCACTTTCACGCCTTTTTAGATATTATACACTTATTATGAGAGAGGAAAAATAGGTCATTTGTTGCCATTTATAGTCCAAAAGCATGTGCTTTAGCACATGGTTGTGATCGATTTTTTACCATTTTCAAATCTTTCAAATAATTTTCCATTTTTCATGAAGGATGCAAAATAGGTAATTATTGGCCATATTCGGACAAATAGTATGGGACTAAAGCCTATAGATTTGATGGATTTTGGACCATTTTGACACGTTTTGAAATATTATCTATTATTTATGAGGGTTGGCAATTTTTGTTCCAAAAGCATAAGCTCTAGTCCATGGTTTTGATAGATTTGGACCATTTTCCCACTTGAATTACATTTTCAGAGCTAGACATCTTTTTAACAGTTCGATGATTCATGGATTTTATATGAACATACATACCTTTCATACCTATAGTAACCCTTTGGATTGACATGGGGTTACCACCAGCAAGGCGTTGGTCTGTAAATATACTGTCTTCTCTCCAGTTACATAATCTCGTCAACCTTTCAAAAGGTTCGTCTGACTCCAAAAAATAGAACTTGAAGAACTTACGATACTCCTGGTCGAGAAGAAACAAATTATATATCAATACTTCAATACTTCAAAGACAAACACGATGGTAGAATCTTGCAGGATGCAACTATTTTATTATATGATAATAATAATATTATAATAATATTCACGACCACATTAGCCATGCTGTAATATCAATCGTGTCTAAATAAATATCATGATTATTATTATTATTATTGTTATTACTATTATTGTTGTTGTTGTTGTTGTTGTTGTAGGAATAAGGAATGGTCAAATCCTGAATTGTTAAACTTTTTTTTGTTTGTTTTTTTTTTGTTTGTTTGTTTGTTTGTTTTTCCTTTTCTTTATAATAATTTGTTGTGCTTTTTAATGTTCGTTTGATTGTATTATTCAAACTTTTCTTCTAATCGACTCAAGTAGAAAATTGTAAACCGCCTAGCTTATAGTGAGGTTTATAGTTGTGTGTAAGAAAAATTAAAATAAAGTTTACATTATTATATGACGCACATGGATGATGTCAGTACAGACAATGATGATGATAGACGCGAAGATGAAGGGAGGGTGGGGGTTTATCCTCTACGTAATAACCTAGTATTGATGAAGATGAAGATGAAGACATCAATGATGTATGGGGGAATGTTGTCGGTGATAATCGTATTGAAGATGCTGATGATGCCTTTGATGGTGTAAAGGCAAAGCAAGTAACAGTGAAGAACGTGTGTTGACAAATTTACTGCTGCTGCTGCAAAGTATGATGACATTGATATATGGTGATATATGTTGATGATGTAAAATGGTGATGCCTTATGGCTGATGATGCTTGTGATGGTGTTGAGATTGACTTTGATGGTAAGACAATGAAAGTGAAAATGAAGACTAAGTAATGTTAGTCCTTCTTCTGCTGATGATAAAAATGAAACTATAATGATATGCGAATAAAGATAATAATGATTGACAAGCAAATGAAACCTTGGGCATGAGTTTCGGCGAATACTGAGACTCTATGAAGAACTTCAACACATTCTTGTAATCATCAATTGCTGCAAACTCGGGCTGGTTCTTTGTCTGATTAAAGAAAGCATACAAAAGGAATAGATTTCGTCGTGAAATCTGTTCATAAACGGTCAACCATTCAGCATTGACTGAATCGTTCTTGTAGATGTCTTTCAGCTGTGCTATCGTCACGTTTAATGATGGGAAGAGGTTGAGAAATGTTGGACCCAGTTTGTAGTTTAGCTTGTTCTTCTCGAGGTCCTGGTCTCGTTTCGTTTTGCAATATGGGTTCAGATCTCGCCTTGTACCAACAGGACAGGGCACTGTAAGCAAAGTAGTCATCAATGACGATAATTATAAACTGATGAAGATTACGAGGACAATGAGGATGATGGTAATGGTAATGGTGCAAGGCTAAGTAAGCAAATTACATATATTCAGTGGGTAAAATAAAAAAGTTATGCATTTGATAGAATCACACATCTGAACTAAAAACAGACACTGTTTCATTAAAAACATCTTGTGACACGTAATTGTTAAAGCCTTTTGTTGCTTGGAAAGTTATTAAAGATTTTTCAGAAACAAATTCCTTGATGAAACAAAATTCACATCTTTAGTCTTATCTTCGAAGCCGCCCTTTGCATAAAAAACCACATTGGTTGCACCCAAATTTTTCGGCAGCAATGCTTTAACTAAAATCATAAGTATATACATGCATGATCTATTAATCCTACTGAGAAAATAAGCTGTAATTCGAAAAGATTATTTCTAACCATTTCCTTACCATTAACGTCACTGAAGACATAGACATCAACGAAGAACAATCCACCATGCGTAACATTACAATGGGAAGCTCTTTTTATCGCATAAAATACTTCGGGAGACGCTGAACCAGACCAGCATCCTTTTCCATTCTGAACACCAAACACTTTGTATTGCCTTTCTTTGACGATACTAGCGCATGCTCTTAGTGGGCCTGGTGCTGTTGAAACCTCTCCAAGAAAAACCGTCAATACTTTATGTGCAGTGTCATTGTAACAACCAAATTGCTCGTAGCTTTGGGCTTCGCTTCTGCTTTGTTTTTTGATCAAGGATTCTAAGAATGAAGAATGGTGAAGAAAGTAAGCTTCCGTCATTGATCCATTCCAACGTTCATGCGATGGGAAGTAGTGATTATTGTTCAAGGAATTCTTTTCAGTTCGTTGATAACCGGTTTACTCTGGATCCTTCTTCTGATCCATTCCTTCCCATCTATTCATCTATTAATCCATTCATCTATCCATCCTATTTATCTATCTCTTCATCCATCCACGAACTATTTATGTATTCTTCATTCATTTAACCCAACACAATTAATTCACACACACACAAAATCTTTTCTATCCATTCAACCAAACTGCCCATCCAGACGCCCAACCATTTAGTTAGACTGACTTTCCCGCAAAAACCCTGTAAAGGGTTTTGTACGAATGAGACTACTCACTCCCTGAGGGACTTCATGCCTATCAGGCAGATAGACTAATTAACTATATTTCCTACACCAATTATAGATTCGATTAGATTAAGGTATAAAGTACATCAATGGTCATTTAGTGATCGATACTTTACTTGCCTTTAGAATTTAACGAACTTGGAATAAAAGCTTCTGAAAAAATCACTTGTAAAAGCAAACCAAGAACTAAAGAGCAAGAAACGGAATACATCTTATGACAGTCAAGCCCAGTCAAGTCTTTTTTCTAGGCGTGCATAGCAGCATATTTATTACAGGAATAAACTACTTCGTGGCAAACTTGGATTGTAGAGTCAATTAATACAGTTGCCTTATTCAATTTCCTCTGCGGGATGATAAAAGCCAATGGTAAAATAGTTATCAAAATTAACTTTGAAATCCAAGAAGAAATCTATATCCGTTTGTTTGCAGACCTGCCGGGTTTTTTTAATGTGCATTAATGTTCTATTATTCTATTCCCTATGATGAAGGCAATGRCTTTTTCCCCACTTAAGACATAATACTGAATATTTATCTTTATTAGGAGTATCTGTTCGAGTACCAAGGATTTGTTTGCTTAACTTTGCACTATGTGTTGTTTTTTATTAAGTGCTAGTAGCTTTTAACACCAGTTAATTGTGTGTAATATGTGGGCAAATAGGGAGAACGATATTACGGAAAGCCTGATAAATGTCATTTAATTCAGTATGGCACTTTTGATTGCCAGCTGCAAACTAAACACACTCTATATGTTATTTTCACCTGGAGGAGTTATTGATGGCTGTTCCTTTTCATTTTGGCTTCATATTATTCAATTTTATTATACTCTCGTTTACCTTCTCTTATTTTTCCCCCTTCGATTCCCTCGTCTTCACTTGCTTAGATGTGTCATATTTTACCTCTCTTCATAAACGATCTCAGATCCCCTTATATTCTTAATTAACTAGATATACAAACTATGTGGGAAAAATGAAAACGCATACGTCTCAAAAGTTTTTTTGATATATATTTTATTCCCATACGTTTGTGAGTGAACAAGTTAATATATATATATGTATATGTATATTTATTAATACGAGATCGTAAAAATCAAGAATTAATGGATAGAGTATAATTATCGTTCAAATATGAAAACACTATTAGTAAGCATGCATCTTGCCAAGTGTACTAGCCATCGAATGATTGCAGTATGTATACCATACTTCAAGTATGTATACTGTTAGATATCCAACCAGGTAGCAAGTAGGGATATGGTAAATGACCATCGTCCAGTCGATTCAAGTTACGAGATTCGATCACCGATTTGATGTTCCCATTGATACTCCCTGAGTGTCTGTAGAGGATATCACGTGCGCTGGGGTCCACAAGGTCGTTGCCATAGTCAAAGAGGCTATCAAAGTGCATTGCGGTGAGCGTCATGGTAATGGTCGTTTGGATCTGTTTGTTAAAATATAATTAAAGAACTTTCTTAATAAGAAACTACTACCATATTTTCTCATGTAAATAATACTCAAGGCGTGGAAAGAACTAGGCCATTACACATATCTTAAAAGCATCATCTTTTCTCTTCCCTCAAACAGCATACATGAAAATTGTTACCTTGCATTTCACTTTACATTCTCACCAAAGAGAAATATCCTTTTTTTTATCTACTACTAGCAATTTTTTAAATTCTTTTTCATTTGCCATGATCATTCTCGGTTAAATTAAAGCAAAAATTGTTCTATGTTTTGTTTTTTTGTTTTGTTTGCTGATCCTTCTTTCTCTTAGGAATGTTTGCAAAATATCCATGATACTAAATAGGTGATACAACTAATACTGATATGATAACTCGAGAATAAGGCTAGCTTACGGATAGTGCTCATTAGAACGACAAATACAAATTTGCAAGTAGCATTTTTAACAGGCTAGTAATTATGAGTCTAAAGATGGAGGCCCGAGAAATTTTAATAGATATATTAACTAAAATTAGTAGACTAAATCTCCCCCTTCCCACTCCACTCCACTCCACTCCACTCCACTCCACTCCACTCCACTCCACTCCACTCCACTCCACTATATAGTTGTATAGTCAAGCTTACTGTTGCGTAGTACATCCCGGGAAGATTCGCCACATCAAAATCTCCAGGCATGACTCTTGAATCAGAATAAAGCTTGCTTGGCATGTTGGGTGTGTACGCTGCGTAATAGTTGCTCGGGTAGTTGACCGCGCTGTGCTGGGCACTAGTCATCCATATAAGGCGAGTTAGTATGTCTTTGAGTTCAAACTTGTAACGTATAGAATATGGGAAACCCACAATCTGAAAAAGAGGTATTTGGTTTTTAAAACAGCTATTGATATTGCAAACAATTGGGATCCCTGTGGTGAACCAGTTGCCCTCGGATGACTTACTTTCCCGTTCATTCCGTTTGTTGTTTGACCATTCGATGAAACTTCGTTTGCGAAGGTTTGAAGTTCTTTGTCATGATAAACGTCGTAATCAGTCTTGTAGTACCTGCAGTTACAATGAAAAAATGACATGAAATCAGACAGCTATTCTTTCACACGACAGCCATGTTGGCTGGAACAATAGATTCTTGCCCATCTAGCCTCGCATTCAAGCACCTCGGGAAGAGTTTGAACGCGAAACAAAAGTTTTAATTCTTATGGGAATAACTATGGCTGCTGCGTGATGAACTATGTTCAGACTTTTCTGGTACATCCTGGATACTGCACATTGAATCATTGCGCATGCTCGCTCGGGATATCATCTTTATATATCTGCTACATCCAGAATAAATAGAGCCAGCCTATGTGGTTTATAGAGTATTTGGTGTCCATAGTGCAGTGTATGACTCTAAACCCCTCAGGGGGTGGGAAGGGACATAAGATGACACCTTGACATCTCAGTTTGAACCATGTTGATACATCTTCCGATCCTAAGACTGGTCTTGGAAATATAAACTGGTTTTCAGCCGACCGGACCCATGGTTATGCTTGACATTTTACAAATCTGATATTTCATTGCCATTTTATTGAAAAATGAAAAATCGAAAAAAAAACAAAAAAAAAAACAACTACAAACAAAAGCTATAAGAAATGAAGCAGATCAGATTGGACGATGATGATTAGAGAAAAGAGGAAAAAATATAAAGAAAACGTTTATGGATGCACATGGTTTATTACTTCCAATTGCAATTTATTTTTTTATCCCTAGCCTGTGTGTAAATGACACAAAGTAATGAAAAAAAGAGCATGTGGTTTTAATCACGTCTCTCTCATTTAGTTATTCAAACGAAAAAAAGAATTGATATCTAAGTCAATACACCATTAACCTCTACCATGTAAATGGCGACAGATGCAAGATATTTTATTTGGTTTTACTTTGCGATACTCAAATATTTGTTCCTCGTTAATTGATGGATCGGAAATATTTGCTTAGGAAACTGTCAAAATGGTGGTGTGAGTTAAGTTTTGAAAGTTGTTGTTGCAGTCTTTGAATTTGATCCTAAAACACCTGTCTTGGGTAAATAAATGAAAATCGAAAATAAAATGAATGGTCGACCATCAAAACTCTTAGAATTATTCAAGTCATTTGTGTCGTTGCTATGCAACAGGATGAACTTTAAGATGCCCTGAAATAGTACTTACAGATCGATGTATTCATTTGCTACAGCTTCAATAGCGTCGTAAATGAGATAACCATCGTCACGGTATGGGTAATAAGGGATCTTTTTGGTATCATCCATGCCTCGATCCTAGAGAAAAGAATGTCGATTTAGTTACCATAGAAACAAACATTGATAGCCAATGATATTCAGGGGTTCGTTTCTATGATAGAGAGTATATCTTGCAGGCTGTAGAAAACTTGGATTCAAACTATTCAATAATGAATGTGTGTTATTTCGATATATATATATATATATATATACACGTATTTTTAAATGAAGTTTTTACGTTTTCCTCTTTTAAATTTTTTTCTTTCTTTTTTTTTTTTTTTTTTTTTTTTTTTTTTTTTTTTTTTTTTT